TGCCTGAATATACTTAAACCCTAGGCCCGCTTTAACGCCGCTTTGTTCCCATAAAAGTGGCCCAAATGCATATTAGATGTGTCTCTAAATACGTGAGCACGAGGCCTAAACAGGCTAGTCGTAAGCCAGATCGTAGCCTGACAAAAGCCGCTCCCTCAAAACACGATGAATTTGTGTTTTGATGGTCAGATCAAGCAATCATACACCCACGTCAGCAGCTGGATAAAATTTTTCATCCTTTTCGTCAAGTGTTTCTTCTTTCAACGTCAAAAATTTAAAATTCTCCTCCGAAGATGAAGTGCAAGTTCTCGCCGAACATAAATGTTGATGCTTTCCTAGTGGGATCTGCAAAATGCACTCATATTTACGGGTCAGCGTCAACAGCGGGCATTCAGGTGAGCAAGAACTACCAGGTAGCACATCTTTGTCCACAATCAAGACGGATCCCAGAATCTCAACACCACAAGCCCCCAAACCCACAGAAATCATGTGTCTGCCTTTGCATCTGGGCGATAAGTCCGTTAAATTTATCTGATTTCTCACGCATCCCTCGATCAACCCAGAAATGGAGAATGAATTGTTTAATCTACTGTTCCAAGTCGGACTTATTAGCGAACCCGACAAGGCAGTACAGAATACGATCAGCAGGCCTATCCTTATTGTTCCAGGCGGAAAAGATTGTAATCTGCTCAAAATGGTTTTATTCTGTTATACTTTTAACTTCTGTTTCAAACCCATCTCCCTGATATCAATAAGTTTACAAAAGGTGTACAATGTGCACAACAGATACCTCCTAATCTTCTGATGGAGGCCCACGCTTTTGATTTTGATTTGAAGCCGAAAACTCCAGTCACTGAGTCGCACTCTTTTGTGATTACCCTTCTTCTCCAGCAAACGCACCTCGTGCGTTCAAGTTTGTAGCTCCCTCCCCCTCTATTTTCTTTTTTCGAGTTGTGATCAACTGTCTGTCCCAATCTTGCTTTTCCTTACGTTTCCTATGACCCGCTGCCATGTAGCTCTTTATCTAAATGCTCAGGATTGCTCTTCACCGACCGTTAAAAACTTGGCTCAGTGGTTCAGCCGCTCCTCAAATGACCATCAACTCTCATTCAGAATAGACACACAGAAACTAGCTTCCTTGAATAACGAAAACCGACCTTGATAGAATCGTTAATCGGTTTATTCAACTATTTTCAACCCCAACGCCATGAGTCCTGCACTTACCCATGCGGAAAACACTGCCAGGAACCAGGCACCTGAATGTGTAGTGGTCGACTCACTTTGCCATGTCGTTCTACCTATTCGTAAAAACCACAGAAGTGGTCAATGGGCTCCACAGTTCCTTCGGATCTGGTAATTAGCCTGGCTTACGTGACAGGTATCAGTCTTTGGCTAGCGCTCTCGCCAAGTGTGGGTTTCACGGCTAATGTACGAAAAAACAACACTGGGGAAGTTCCGAAACAGCGTAAAGGCTGTTTGACACTTATGCTGTTCCCCTGCGTTATGACTCCTCCTTTATGTGCCACTGAATCTGGGGTGCTCAAGCCCTAAATTCGATCTTTGAACACACAATACTTAAATCCACTTCCCAAACATACGAAATTACTTGGTCATGATTATAGTCTTCCAGCAAGTATACCAAGCTTTCTAAAAGTAAATTAGCTACACTTGTGCTTTTGAATGATTTATTGCTCCGGAAGAAGTGCCAACAGGAGGCTGCATGAACTTTTGCCAAAAATAGTGACGCAGGTGTTTAAAATTGTGAAAGCTTCAAGGCTTTACCAGTAAGGCGCAAAATAGGCTGCTGTTTTTTCCTATCTAACCACGTATTCCAAAACTACACCTGGTGCGGTGGCTGTACGAATGATAAACTCACATGTGCATATGAGTCAATTTGATGTGGCTTAATCACCATCAAACCCACGCGTTGTTCCCGCAGCCTCGGACTGACTTTGGGTTCGGTAATTTTTGCTGCCTCTTTTGCCTTACCAGACGCGCATCCACTGACCACCGCTGAGGAGGATATGTTTCCACTAGTAACGTGAAAAACAGACCCTCAAATTGAGTTTATCTATCTACATTCGACGCCGATTTCTAACTTGACCGGTAATGTTGCGTTTAGCGAGCGCTTGGAAGAAAAAGAGCACGGTTTTTTATCGGGGTTAAGGGTGACGTAGTGATGACAGGCTGAACCTGCTGAATTCTCTTGATTTGCTTAATAAACGATTGTCAGTGATTCAAGGGACTTAGTAGGAATGTAGTACCGCATTTAATACTATAATTTATCCAAACACTACCGAGTTTATACGGGTTTATTCACACATTTTTCGGTAATTTAGTTTTCAACGAATGATTTTCAGTAAAGCCCGTAAAAAAGTCAACGCAATGTTCGAATGAGTGACGGTTTGGCTGATGTCTATTATGGCGTGCCTGGTAAAGATCCAACCACTTGTGTGTACGTTTCTGTGGAAACGACCACAAAAATTAGCTTGTCCATTGGAAACCACCAATTCCTCCAAAACGTCGAGATCATGTGGCGTAGTTGCATCCACAATTTTCAGAGACCGGTAGCAACACAAAAGTTTCCCGGGATCCGAAGCAAACTAAGGCGGCTAGATCCCAGGTATGTTCATTGTTTCCATTCACAACCAGAGGAACCAGAATTTGTGTGGTCAAAAAATAATGAAATTGTCTTCATGGATTTCATTTAAGCCTCATCCAAATATGCATGCGGTAACAACTGTTGTGGATCCTATCCCTTCACCTGTTGCATTAATTTGCCTTTTCATATCTAATGAACCTGCAGAAACCTAATAAGATTGCGCATGTGAGCGCATTGGTTTTGTCCGAAATTTTTGCTCCGGGGATTTCTTGTGACATAAGTAAAGCAGGTGTCTTCTCTTAGCCAGATTAATCACATGCCATTTTCTTCTCAGATTTGCGCATTTGTAGGCTGACAGAGAAAAAGTGATTGCATGCTCTAACTTCCAAACAAATATTTGTCAAAATTTGATGCTTGTCCTAGTCTCTGATATTTTGCCGCATCCTGACAATCTCGGACGCGGGAAAACGGGTTAATCCTGCACACATTTATCCAACTTGAGAAGAATTCAGCGGCTGATTAGTGGGTTGCATCTATAAATCAAGCCCGGGGTATACATTGGGCTACCAAATGGCTAGCGTGCTGTAGACGTCACACCGTCTAAACTTTTTCGTACTTCTGCTATTGAGCGCGTTTATATCGTGGCAATAGTCCTGCAACTTACTGTGTTTGTTTCCAAATAACAAGATTCTATGGTATATCGGCGGAATCTGAAATGAAAATTTCCCAAAAGATCTGGCTTACACCAGATGTCTCTTACGCGGAGATCTCGATAGACGGTTGCTCTATTTTCCGAGCTGCTTCAAACTGAGGAAGGGCTGGTGGGGTTGCTTTGTACTTACATGCGGCGCCACCAATCCCGATTGCCCTTTCTGACACCACCCCTGCATCCTTTTGCGATGCACTGTGGGTCCAAATCCCGCTGCGTGGGTCCGATCCTCTCCTTCTCGGCGTGGTCTACCGTAGCCCTTCGAATCCCTCTGAAAATGACCAATTCCTCATACAATACCTTCAGCAAATCTCCTCCAGCTGCCACTTCACTCATCTCCTGCTAGTAGGTGACTTCAACGCCCCAAAGGCCTCCTGGATTGCACTCCAGCGCGTCGAATCAGGAGGACGATTTTCAGCGGCGCTGTTTGAAGTAGTTCAAAAAAGCGCTTGGACCCAAGATGTCGTTGAACCAACCAGATACCGCGCAGGCCAACCACAATCCCTCCTGGAATTGGTCATCACCAACGAAAGACACTTGGTTGATCAGGTAACAATTAACGCTCCACCAGGATTTAGCGACCACTGTGCGCTGACCTTTGATTTCATCTGCTATTGGGCCAGAAATCCCAAACCTCAAACGTGGTTTCGAGACTTCTGCAGTGCAGACCTCTCAGGAAAGCGCATCTTCCTTAAACTAGTCACACTGGGACCAGCTCCGGTGGAAGAACTATATGGGACCGTTGTCCAGAAAGTTCACGAGGTTGACGCG